TGTACTCGGATATCTTCTGCCGGTAGCGGTGCTTCTTCGCCTCATCTGTCGTGGCTGTGAATCACAACAAGTCACGGGCCAGCTGAACACAGGGGCCGCCCTCCCGGGAGCCCTGCCCGGCCCGGCTGTCCCGGGATCCCTGCCGCTCCCCTTCCCTCCCCGCGGGACGCGGGGGTCCAGCCCTGCTCGCGTGTCCCCAGGGCCGGCCCGAGCCCCGAGAGCGCCCGGCCGCACCTTTCACCACCTGCAGCAGGAGGTCGATGCCCTCCTGGTAACACACCAGCGACTCCTGGAACCGGCACGCCACGTCCAGCTGCACCGCCCGCTTCACCGTCTCCACCCCGGCCCGCTCCAGCGCGGCTGTGCCATTGCTCCCCGCCCGCGACATGGACACGGACAGGGACGCGGAGCGTCGGGAACGGTAACCGGGATGGCGACGGGAGCGGGGCGGGGAACGGAGCGGAGGTGTCGCACCTTTGTCCTTCCGCCCGCCCGGAACTGAAGTGCCGCGGCACCGTGTCCGGCCGGGACAAAGGGTGTGCACGAAGATGGCGGCCGCGGCGGGCCGGGCGGGCCTGGGGCTGGCCGGCGCCGGGAAGGTGGGCAGGGGGGATGTGGGGAATTCAGGGGGGGTCCAGGGAGACATCTGGGCTGGGCATGAGGTTTGCAGCCTCCGGAAAAGTGGGGATCCAAGCCGGGTGTCGTAGGGGTGGATCCAGCTGGGGATCCTGCTCGGGGCTCCGCGGCCGCTGCGAAGGTGGGGAGCCAAGTGGGGCTGGGACTCAGCTGTGTCATCTGCTCGCAAGTGTTCGTAGCTCCGAGGAAAGCGCAGACGAGTTATGCCATCCTCTCTTTGCAGGTGCTGGGGAAGAGGACGGAGGGGATGGCATCCCCGCTGTGGGTTCGCTGTCTCTTTACCAGGTCGAATATTCCAGACTCGGTATGTACTTGACTTGCACTTTACACTTTTACATTTATAGTTTTAATTTATTTTCGCAAGATACCATCTAGTGTCAGTTGACTCTTTTCCGTAAAAGCGTTCATAAAGCCTGTGGAAAACCTTGCCATGGAGAGGCTGAGCACAGTCTCTCTGATAAAATGCACGTGAATTAGGTGTTGTGCTGGTACAGGGTGTTGTCCATGTATTTCTGTGCCGTTGTGTGGCTAAACTCAGGAGTTACTATGCTTATTAGCAAACCATTATAGAAATATATTTGACTTCATGTTATAACAGTTAAATTTGAGGTCACTTTGTTGGTACTTTGACTGCCTGAAAAGAAAAAGATGTAAGAATTTTTACCAAAGTTGAAGTATGCTTTGGACAGCACTGGTGACCAGATATTTAGGGAAAAAACCTCTGTTTTGTGAACTTTATATTCTAGGTATTTCAGCCACGGCCTGGAGATCATGAAAAGTATGGAGGTGACCCTGAGGAACCCCACAAAATCCACGTTATTACTAGAATAAAAAGTGTCATTGGTCGCCCATATTGGGAAAAGAAGATAATACATGATCTGGGGCTGCAGAAAGTATGATTGTTGTTTTTTGTACTTGTGTATGTCAGAAATGTAGCACTAAGGTGGTGAATTTTATAAGGACCTTCATTTTGCAGTCACAAATCAGAATTACATTTACAGCAGCCATAAAGCAATCTGAGAAGGTGATGACGTGTTTAAGAGCTGAGGGGAATGTTTGTGGCAAATGTCCTTTTAGTGGGAATTCAGAATACCTCTGTATGGTATTGTGCTGCATTGCCTGAGGAGAACTTTACTCTCAGAATTCTTCTAAAATAATAGAAGAATTTGAATTCGGGTCTCTCTGGGTCATATTATTCACAAATTGTAGCAAGGCAAATAAAGCTCATTTATCAGTGAAAAGGCTTCCAAATTCAGGACTCTAAAAGTTTGTGTCAAAGATGTGTTTATCCAAGTTTTTCAGGCCAACTGCACAATATGCAAAGATTTGCCTAATCAGTGTTATATTACAGAAAAAAAAAGTGTGCTTGATCAATTTAAGATATAACTGAGGAAAGCAGTTTTGCCCCTAAGCTCTTGTATTTACATTTTCAGTACTTCTAACAGTTGGAAGAAAAAAGCATTTATAGTGAAGTAGGAATAAAGCTGAAGTTGTTTTTACTGGAATCAAGTTCTGATTGCATATTTTTATGTATGTTCTTGATGCATGGCACTTCTGTAAATCTTGTGTTTGCAAATGTGGTTTATTTTTGTACTGGTAGTGTGCAAAGTTCAGTGAGCAAAGATTTGGGATTTGGCAACACATCTGTAAAACTTGTTTTATCCCTTATGTAGGCACATCAGCCAAGACTGCACAAAAATATCCCTTCTGTGAATTCCAGACTGAAAGTTGTTAAACATCTGATAAGGTTTGTTAACTATTTTTTTATTTGTTTGTTTGGAATATTTAATATAGTCACAGGACTTGACTAAGTGAATTCTTTTGCCTGTAGAATACAGCCACTGAAACTACCCCACGGGCTGCCAACAGAAGAGGAACTGTCCAGCAGCTTTCTGACAACCAGGGGAGAGCTTATCATTAAAAAGCGCCTGAAACCTGTGGAGCAGAAAGAAATTAAGTCATAAGGTGTGGTGGTTGGATTTAGATTTTATAAAATAAATACTTTAAATCCCCAGTTAAGAGTTTGTGTATGAAAAGTAAAAATTCTTACTCTGGTATGAATGGCAAAGGTGATGCTGATGCTTAAAGAAGGATTGCAGGTGTACAGATATGAAATTCAATGTTGTTAATAGTTACCTGAAATATTAAATTAATTATGGGCTCTCTGTCTGTGTTTTAATTTTGTGGCTAGATTGCTGCAGTTTTTGGCTAACTGTAAGTTCTCTTATAGTTTGACTTTATTGGTAAAGTCAAATAAGCAAAGAAGCGAATAGAATAGTTCTAGCTAATGATGGCGAGGACATTTCACAGGTAGCAGTAAAGATTTACAGCAATACTGGGGGACTTTCACTGCACAGAGGAGGGAATTGGAATTGGAATTGAAAAGCCCTCTGTTTAGTTGTCATATAAGAATTGACTGGCTGTCCACAGAGAGTGATTTACCACGGTTATCCAGATCTCACACTTGTTCCCTAGCAAACAGTCTGTCATCTGGCTTCTTCTGTAGCTTACAAAGCATGTGAACTCTCCATTTAGGAGTAACAGGAGTTATTCACCTCTTGGTTGGTTGTCTAATTTGTCTTTCAGAAAACCTGCTGCCTAAGAGCTGCAGTCTCTGTGAAAGTTAATGTTTTTCCTTTTCTAGAATGGCAAATGTTAGAAATGTAGAGACCCTGAAGAAAACCTCTGATGTGAGTTAGAATTATGGGCTGCAAGCTTATAAAATACTACCATGTGTGTAGTTTTATTTACAGTTTTAATAACTGTGGCCAAAGTTAGCAAGCTGCTGCTATATCAAATGATAAAGTAGTTTGCATTCCAGTCAGGATAAATTCTGCAATTTAACATGCTGTGAGCCTCTCCCACATTAGACACGCTGAAGAGGATTTAATCTTAATGACTGCATGTTGTGAGAACATCAGAGGGATGCAGTTACTGAGAATTAGTGTTTATCCTTTCTGGCTGATTGCAGAGAAGAGTAAACACCTGTAGGAGTTCAAAGGAATAGATAAATCAGTACAGGGACATAAGAGCTGGAGGCACCATGCAGAGGGAAAAGGATAGGCTAGGGTAGTGGCATTGAGGAATGTAATGGCCCCAATGGCCAGGCTGAAGGCAGAAATGAGAATTTGAGCTGAAATAATGTGGCATGGAAAAAGTGATAAATTTATCTTAAACCTTTTAGATAAATTAATGATTTTTCAGATAAATTAATGTTGCTTTTCTCACCTCCCTCCTTTCTTCCAGCATCTGCACAGCATCTTGTGCTGCAGTGTGTTGTAAATCTGAGAGCTGCAGTCTCTGTGAGGCGTTGACCATATTCCCACAGGGAGGTACAAGTTGGAATTTGAGCCCTTTTGAAGGACATGTGTAGTGCATCCAAGGCATAGGGCATTCTTTAAAGAGATGGTGCAAGTACTAGGACACAAAAAATTAGGCAAATGGATCTTGCTGCTGGATAGGAAATAATAAGTCTTTGTGGCCGGATCACCAGGGCCAGGCTGGGTCAGCCTTGCCAGGCACGTTCGGGATTCACGTCCGTGGAACTGCAGCCTGGGGAGCTTCCAGCAGAGGGCTCTGCCAGCTCTGTCCCACACGCTCTGCGGATGGATTTGCATATGGATCTACAAAAATGCTGCAGGGTATCCCGGAGGGACTGGGTTGATGAAAGGCTTGGTACCGTTCAAACCTAAAGAAGTGTCTGATAAACTATCGAAGCTCAAGCAGAGCTAATAGCAGGCTCCCACGTAGAAGGGAAAATACATAGTACCTGTTATTTCTGAATAAGATGCAGCTGCAAGAGATCTTAACAGAGATGTTTAATTGACAAGCTGACAGTTCCAATGAAAAAGAAAATATGTGTACATTTGGGTGTTTCTGAAATGGTATTTCCCCCAAGGACCCCCCCACTCTCCCACAGTTAATCTGCTATCCCAAACCTTCTCTCTGTGAGCATACATTCTCTCAAGATTTGCTCTCAAACCCTAAAACCCGAACCAGCAGTGTGCAGAAATACACTGTGTGTCCACACCCTTTCAGTAGTGGAGCTTTGTAATGCTCCATGTGAAGCACACGTAAGAGACATTGCCTTTTTGTGTAGGGAACAAACAGACTGACTTAAGATGATTGCAAAATTCAGATTGGAAAGTACCTTTTTGGTCTCTAGTCCAGCCTCCTGCTCAACACAGGGCCAATACTGAGGCCAGATGAGGTTGCTCAGTGCTTTGTGCAGTTGGGTCTTCAAAGCCTCTGACAGGGACAGCTCAGCCTCTCTTGACAGCCAGCGCTGCTGTCTTGTACAGCTGTTAGACGTGTATCAACAGACAAAACATAAGGCAGGTAAAATCTTGTTAAGTAGTGTTACAACTTCCTTGAAGCATTAATCTGCTGCTTGAGAAACTGCAGCCACCGATGAAAACTCTGAATATTCTCAAGAATTAAGATGAAAATTAAAGGTAATTTTCATTTTGGACTATTAGCCATGTTATCTTTTAAGTTATTTTTTTAGCCTTAGCTGGAAAAAAACCCACTGCAAGTTTGTTCTTGTTCCTGGCTTCGTTGTCCTGCCCCATTTTTATTGTTTCTGGAGGAGAAATTCTGAATGTTTTTAATTAGAAACAAAGTATGCAATCAGGGCCTCAGATCTAATAATTACTCAGATTTCAATATCCATTTTTCTTATAAAACCTGGGTCTTGAATCCACATCATTGACATAGTTGTGTGTTTTGCCAATATCCATTTTGTCATCAGTCTGGACAGTGTTAACTCCTGCATTATAGGCTGAGATTCCATCTGGAAAGAGGGTGAAGGAAACACATAAACAGAAGTGCTACCTCATCAGTAAATAATACTTCAGAGTTGTCAGGCTAGGCAACCAGGGAAGGCTACTTTTTGTAGGTGGGTATACAACCACAAAACAGATGGAATGGAGAGAGGAGGGGAGAGCCCACCCTTACTCCTTGCAACTGAAAAATGTCATGGTATTTGCCAGGTTTCAAAAAAATCCTGCTGGAAGGCTAATCTTACTCCTTTATTCCTTTTAATGCATAGTGAGGAATATTATTCCACATGAACATAGGGACTGGGATGTATTTAGCTTTCTGCAATGCTTACAGCATTATCCTGCTTGACTTTATATATGTGAAGAGTTTCAAAGCTTACAAAACTCAACTGTTCCTTTGTCCAAGATGGAGATTTTTTTTCTAGATTTATCATCCTGTATAAAACCTCTGTGTCTTGTGCTAAGTGCTCTTCAGTGTCCCACGGCTCGCCAGTCTTACGGTACTGTTTGCCAGCCTGAAAGTGGGACAGCACCATCAGCACACCAGATACCCCACTATTTATCCAGAGTTCTTTGTTGCTTACAGGCTGCTTGAGTTCATTTTGGTCCTCAGTCTCAGGATTTACCTCTTTAGTGACTCTATGGAGAGGACACAAGCACTTCTCATGGCACAGGCAAAGCCAGCAGGTGTGTGAAGGGCAGACATTTGAGCACTGAAGAGGAATGCTGGCTCTACTTCCTTGTCTGTCAGAGCCTTAAAAAAAGAGCACAGCTGCTGTTGTAAAGGTGACAGTATGCAGAAAGCAGGATTACTGCTGCTTCACAGTGTTTCCAGATGCAAGGTGACTGCTCCTCTCCTCCCCAGCTGAATCAAGGGTGGGAAAATCCATTCTCTATAGGGATCTCCCCTTAATCCATGAGGTAGTAAAGCTCAAGTCTGAGGAGGCTGGAGCTGTTACAAAAGCAGATCCCATACATGCAGCAAATGTTTAGGGATTTTACAGATAAGGCTACAACTTGGCAAACAAGTTAGGCACAAATGTAGGCATGAATAATGAAGCAAGATCCCTCAAGACCCAGGCCCCTGTGGTGCATAGTGTAATTAACTTGATGGTAGTAACTGCAGCTACAGCATACTCAGTTTAAAAAGGTGCTTTTTGAAACAAGACTTATTATCTAAATGTGAAATAGGAAAAAGTAATCTCTTCAATCCCAAGGGAAGGCTGGAAAGCAATAATCAGTTTCACAGTGTAAAAGTCTGCTCGTGCATTGATACTCTCCCAGGTCCTTCTCTGGTGCTGGGAGCTGACATCCTGGCCAGCACTAGCTTTAGCCTCATCAGCATGGACTTTAACCTGGCCAAAGCCTTGGTTGAAAATGTTTAGGGGGTTGTCTTTCAGCAGGGGCCCCGCTACTCTTCTGCCTGTGCTTCAAAGGAGGGATGAGATCTGTGTTTTTAAGAAGGTTGACTATATCTGCATTAAGCCGAATGCATTCCCATGGTCACCCAGGCTGTCCTTCATTGCTGTCCCAGTTCTTGAAAGGTAGTACCAGCAATCAATCACAGCTGGAGCAAGATCCTCACCATTGCCAGCTTTTGCCATCTTGGCCTGGTATTTCTCCATGTTTTTCTGCTGTCTTCTCTGAGGCAGGAACTCATCTACAACATGACATGCATGACTTTGCCTTTCATTTTAGAATCCAAACCCAGTTTTAATAAAGGTCATCATGGCTGAGCTGACATTTTGAATCCTGAATCTGTTTAGAGCAAAGCAAAGATAGAATTGACTAATTTTACTGAAGGGTACCTTAGAAATCAATACACAGATGATATAAAATACTTTTTTGTTCAGATTCGGAGGGCAGTTCTCTAGAATGCAGATTGAGAGAGAGGTGAGTCTTTTTTTAAATCTAAACCTTTGTGTGGATTCATCCCAGATTTAGTCCCTTTTAATTTAGGACTATAATGGAGAAATGCTCTCCATTATGTGTTCAGGTTTTCAGAGGTTGGATGCACCCAGCAAACTTTCATTCTTTCTGTGATAGTCTTAAATGTCATCTCAAAGGCAATTCTATTCCAAACATAAACTTACGTGCCCAAGTAGGATCTTTGCTAATTGTGAAAAATATCTGCTTGCTTGGCAATGACTAATGGTCAGAGACCAGGATCCATAGTAGGCATGAGCGTGTGCATGGGTGTAAGGGGGGATGAGCAACTGAATTAGTGCCTACCTACATAGCTCAGACTGTCTGGTTTCACAGTTGCCCCCAAAGCTCCAGTTATATCAACATTCAGTATATTCCCCTAATGCTCTGAACAGCCTAAGAACACATGCTGGTTTCAGCTGAAACCAGCACAGAGCAGTATTTACAACCAGATGTCAGGCCAATGCAATGTGTGACTCATGCTGTTAAAATGCATTCAGATCCCCGACTGAAACCCATGACATCCTTTTGACACTAGCGCAGGTGTTTGTGCTAGCAGATGCAGTCATGGTGTGTATGGCCTGCTCTGGAGGGGATTACCTCTTGGTCATGCTAGCTTATGTACCTTGTGAACTGGTGCTTTGTGCCCAATTCATCTCCCATAATTACCTAAAACTTATCTGTCTTAGTCTAAGGTTGTGACTTGGGCTGCCTGCATGGCCAGTGGAGGAAGGCATCTCAAAAAGGCAGGTTTTCTATTCCAAAATTTTTTTTAAAAGTAAAAAAATATGAGAGTCAGTTGAAATCCTACACCCTTTACTGGCTCCAGCTTGCTTTTCCATAGTAGCAAGAAAATCAAACAGAAACATCTTTCAGTTACACCCATTACAATTTATCTGACTTGCAGATTGTTTGACTTGCAATTTTTCTGCATTTTTCTGTTGTCTTAACACACCATTGCAGAAGGGAAAACACACAAACATCAACTGAGAGGAACAATTCACCTAGTGGAATACAGACTTTGGTATAGTGAATCATTTACAAGAATATTTGACAAAGATCACAGACCTGACATGTTTGCTACAGGATGTCTCCCCGCATTCTCAGTGCACTTCCTGGAGACGAATGGGCTTTGTATCTGCTGGCAGTGTTCTGGAACAGCTGGCTCAGTGCACTTCCCACCCCCACTGGTCTTACAAGAAACAGAAACACCTAACAACTTGTGCATCCTCCCAAACACAACAGGGATTCTGTTCTACAGCAAAAACACAATTAGAATTTTAAAAAATGAAATAGCTTTTAATTTAATTTTAAGTCCCATTGCTAGGAAGTGTGGAGGAACTGGAGGAACCTTGTCTGAAAACAGCTGCTCCCCTTCAGTTCTTGGAAGCAATAACATGCTGACAACGGGAAAATGTGCTTCTGGATTTAATGACATTTTTGCAGGCAAAGATCCAGGAACAATAACATGACCAGAGCTGCAACTGCTGAAAATTCGGATATGCAGAGACTACGCCAGGCCCCTGTTGTTATCCTCTCTTGTGCAGAAACAGCAAAGGTCAACAACCCCAAATTAGCAGGCGGTGTGGATTTCAAAGCTACTGTAGCTGTTCAGCAGAAAGGAAAACAGCCGCTGGATGGCAGAACTCCCGCGGCAGATTCTGTCCTGACCCGCTTCTCCCCCCGCCGTAGATTTTGAGGGTGTAAAATGCCGTTTTGCTCTTTCAGCAGTTCTTTTACATTTTTAGCGGGGGAATTCGTCCCGTGTCATTGTACTGAGAGATTCTGTAAGTTTTTGCTGTACTGTTGATACTTCCCATAGAGAACCAGCTGTAAAAAGTCACAACAGCTCATGCATGGGGCTCTTCATGTTCACGATTATGACTGAGTGTAAAGAAGGTTGAAACAGGAAAGTGCATCTGACAGGAAGGAGAATAGAACAGATGTGGCTCAAAAGAAGTGACATTTAAAAAATTTAAAATACCACCAAAGGTTATTCACAAACCAGTAATCTCCAAGTGGTCTGTGCTACTATTCCCTTATTTCTGGGGCAGAAACATAAAGAATGTCCTAGTTTGCTTCTGCTATATCACAGTAATTGAGGCACTCCCCCTGTGAACAACTTTATTCCCTGCCCATATTCTATATACAAACCTCCTTTGCCACACCTGGACAGTTTCACCTGAATTCCCTGGAACTTTATTTATACTCAGCTAGCTCTTCAGCCTCTATATAGAGTAACCTGACAGATCTACTACTGAAATATTTTGTGCATGTGGTAAGTGTAGGACATCCACCTATAGTACATATAACAAGAGCCACAGTGATCCATTCAATATCAGTATCCATGATCAATTAGCAAGCAACTCTTTATTGATCACAGGAGTCACAGGGGAGGGCCAATTTTGTTTACCCAGAAGCCAGGCTGCAGGGCACTGGACCACATCTAGTACCAGCTACTCTTCACTCTTCTCTCATGTGTCTGGCAGGGAGGAATAATTGCCTCTGGCAATTAAATGGTTCAGGGCAAACATCTGTGGGATAATCTGGTCCTGCATTTATGTATCAGGCATGCAGCTGTGCCTTTTTAGAGTTTGTTGTCATTTCTAGAGGAAAGGTACAAAAATGTGCTGCCAGGATTTTTGTTATTATGACAGGAATCTATAAACCTGGTTTCTGTAACTGTGCACACACCCAAGCCCCTTTAAAAACTTTGTTAGTTTCTTGATCTGAATCAGCTAAGGGGTGGCTGAATAACTAGGGAATTAATAAAATAAAACCTGATTTAAAAGACAAAATTGAGTCAAATTTCTCCTTGCCTGCTTTGGGACAAGAAACCTTTCCAGTTCTTGGGAATTTAGTGCTTGTGGAAGACTGAGGACTGCAGCAATAGAGTCTCAGGTCAGCCACATCCCCACTGTGTGGGTTTTTTCACGTTCTTGAACATTTCTTCTAATTGCTAATTAGCTAAATAAGAGGTGGGTAAGAAATGAGTGATCCTAGTTATGCTTTCAGGGGAGATACTAGGCTGACAAGCTTCCCAAGGCAATCAAGCCCATTTAAGCTGTGGGAGGCTACCCAGCCTGTGTTAGGCAGGCACGGTGCTCTGGATGCTGGGAGAAGGTCTGTGTCCCAAGGCTGCAAGATGGCCTCATGAGGAAATACAGGAATTTGTAGGTGGGTGAGGCATGTGAGGAACTGGCAAAACACAGATGAGTGGTGCAGCATAGAAGGGGCAGGCTGTGCCTGAGCTGTAGCATAGACAACCAGTGTCACTGGAAATTGAAGAGCTTTTAGAGGAACATTTCCACTAGAAGGAGCGTAAAGCTGACAAATACAGAGGAGTATCTAGTTCGAACTCGTGATCTTCAAGGTGGACAAGGCTGACCTTCAGTTTACCTCTGATAAAACCATGAGGGAAATAAACAGCATGATCATGAGAAAGACAAAACAGAATACACTGGTGAAGATTTGGCACATGCAGTATTAAGCAACAAAGCAAAGACAAACTTGCAAGTGTTTTTGTACAGTTGCTAGAGACTTCAAAATCAAGTCAAAACCCAAATGCCTGCATCAAATGACAAGCTTGACACAGAAGGTGTCTCAGAGACTTGGTGGAGGCTAGAAAACCAATGGGATACAGCACTGCCAGCCTCACAGGAACCACTGAGTAGGATGTGGAGGTGTGATGCTGTACGTAGAGTGATCTGCATGTGAAGGATAAAAATGTTACAGCATAAAAATATTACAGAAAAAGAGAAGCACCCTAAAAACCTGTGGGTGGAAATCCCAGTTGCTACTGATAAAAATGCTGTAGTAGGACTGTATTATCCTTTTTGATTTCTGTGAGAGTGGTCAGCGAGGCCAGAGGAGCAGTAAATGTGGGATGGTGGCATGAGTGGGAGCCTGCATACTGGCTGGATCAGTGCCTCATCAGGATGAGGTGCAGAAGCAGAATTTTTGGTTGCTATAAATCCCTGCTTCTAGGACAAGCTGGTTGAGGAACCCAGAGAAACAAATGCTAGAAAGGCACAAGGGATGTTTGAGAGATGTTGGTGGGAAACTGCTCTGAGGCTGCAATCCTACAATGTGATCTCTTTTAACACTGAAAAGGGAAAAAGCAGGCTACGTGCATCCAGTATGGGAGTATTCAGTTTCAAGGAAGGCAATTAAACTGAGGCAAGCATTAGAAACAGTTACCTCCAGCTACAGCACCGGCACCATAGGGTCCTTGGGACCACAGGCTGGTGCCTGTCCTGGGCAAGGTAAGAGGTGCTGTCCTGGAGGGAAGTTGCTGGCCAGGAAATCCCAGTCCGGTTTTGCAATGAGTAACTAAGCAGAACAAACACAGTTATTCAGCACTGCATTGTGCTGGTGTTCCCTTTGTTTTCTGCATATCTCAGGGAGATAGATTTGGACAGATCCAGCTGCAGCAGCATTCGGAATCAGCCATCAGAACAATCTGTTCTCCCCCGTAGCTTAGGGCTCTGACCCAATAGGGATTTGGTTTTGATGGTGTTTTCCTGCTGCTTCAGTTACTGCTGAAACAGATTGTTTAATTGGTCCCTCTACCTGGTTTCTATGAAAGCCAGTTATTGCAGCTCCAGACTCCAGGCAGATCCCTGCCTGAGCCACGGAGGGATCAGCCCATGCCACCTGCAGCTTAACAAGTTGATGAGACAGAAAGACTCCGCCTCACACTTGCTTTTTATTGTAGGAAGCACATTTAAATAGATTTCCCAGTAGTAACAGCAGTTGTAAAACCAAATCACAAGACTCCAACAAAGAAGGTTTTTCTTCCCTGTCTGCAATTTGTTTTCCATTTGCTGACTGCTGGTTCTGATTTAGCAGTGTTAGCTTGGAAAGGTCCTTAAACAGCACTTATTGCATTTCCCCTCTCTACAAAATATAACTGCAAAGAGAGCAGGTTTAGATTAGATATTAGGAAGAAATTCTTGACTGCAAGTGTGGTGAGGCCCTGGAATAAGTTGTCCAGAGAAGTTGTGGATGCCCCATCCTTAGGAGTGTTCAAGGCCAGGTTGGATGGAGCCCTGAGCAACCTGGTCTAATGGAAAGTATTCCTACCTATGGAAGGGGAGCTGGAACTTGGTGATCTTTAAGGTCCTTTCAAACTCAAACCATTTTATGATTATATATGGTGTACAGCTACTTTTACATGTTGGGCTTGAATGTTGTTTAAAACACCCAGGAAATGTTGCATGGCTTCATTATCCTGAAAGTTTTTTAAGTATCCAACAAATTTGCTGCTAAACTCACCGCTATTTGTCTTACCCTCAAGGGGAATGGAAGCATGTAGGACCTTCCCCTTAATTTCTTTTGCATAATAGAAAATCATAACTGTGTGCTTTCTCTCTTTTTTTTTTTTTTTGGGGGGGGGGGTGGGGGGAGGAATCTAATTCCTTATTTCCACAGACTGTACTTTCCATCAGGGTTGTGATTATCCTGAGCACATTTTTGTTGGTGCAACAGGCTCAAAAAATGTTGCCAAGCCTCACTGACTGACAGCTGAATAGCTGAGAGAAGAGTTACCCCACGTGCTTCACACACAGGTGTGTGTAACAAAGAGATATTCAAATGAGACATTCCTTCTTTTTGATTTCTTCTGTCTCTGGCATCAACTTTGCTTCCCACTAGGATCTCCAGCCATTTCTGTGGGATGGTTGCCCACCTGCTACACTGCTGCTTGACCTCATTGAATGTTTTTCACCTCTGTTTAATTGATTTCTGTGCTTTGGTTCCTAACAGGTTTTCACAGTTTCTAATCACCATGGAAGTGCTCCTGTTCCCTTTCAATGTAGCCCACGGTTTGATAGCTCACATCCTCCATTCATTTTCTGACCACAAATTTCAGAGAAGCTGCTGTAGGACACAAATTTCAGAGAAGCTGCTGTAGGACAGACTTGTGTATCTCACTTGAAAATTTCAGCAGTTTGGCCAGCATTTTAGAAGCTGCTGCTAACCAGTGCTTTTTCCACTTATTTTAAAGCCCTTCACATACGAGGGCACTTCATATTTCTGCTGAAAGCATTACTGACCTCATGATATGACACAACTATGGCTTCTCTCTTGACCACTTACCCAGTTAGATAAAGATTTTAATTGATCTGAGATGGTTTTTCCCTGCCAAGCCAGGCTGCCAGCACCCTCCTGAAGTTTCTTGCTGCTTTGTTGTCCCATAGGATTTCTTGAAGAAACCATTCAATCCTTTACTCTAGCACCTTCCTCAATGTTTCAGGCAGGTGCCTTGGTCTTTGATTCCTTGCATCTTTCTTTCTCCTTTGATTTGGTTTTTATCTTTCCTTGCCTGTGGTTTTGCTTTTTCTTATATGTTAGTTAATATTAGATAATTTGCTTTGCAAGATGTCTGTTGGTTTTGGCTTTTTTTTTTCAATAGGCCATGGTCAAAAGGGTGACCAAGAGTGCAACTGCAGCTGCTCTGTCTACATCAGGCAGTAAAGGAACTTCCAGTAACATGCACAGAGGTGACCAGAAAAAGATCAGAGAGGAACAACAATCTCAACTCATTATTTGTCAGGAAACCTTTTGCTCAAATTTTAAGGCAGTATGCTACTGTTAAAATTTCCTTATTTATTTGGAATTATTTATCCTTATTCCTTCCTACCAATTTATCAAGCTTCAACTCATTTTCTGCAGAGATTTTCTGTATTTGCTGCAAAGTGCTGATACTCTAAAACAAAACTGGGAACAAAATGTGGAATTTCCATAACTTGGAATTTTAAATAGACTTTAAAATATGAATAATCCTTTGTGGTGTTGCTCCACAACTCAGCAGGCAGGTCTGCAGGCCCTTGGGTGTTGCTACCACAACATGAAGCAGCAGCCTCATAACTTCAAATTGGACTCCTGAGGAGCTCAGAGATCTGCAGGGTTGGCAGCACCAATAGTGGTGACAAGGAGCTTGCTGGCAGTAACTGAGGAGGACAGGAAGGCAACCAAAGAAAGCTCCACTCTTGTTCACCCTTGGTACTCAGCACCCAGCTTTGTACACATAGGCAGCAATGAGATTCCCTGCCCCATGTGAAGTTTATACTGTTCTACCAAAAATTAATTCATAGGCTTTATATAAGAGGTTTACGTAACAGAGGGTTACATAACATAATGCACCAAAGGCTTCATCCTATGAATTTTACATAGGTAATATTGAGTAGAAAACCATGTGATACATTTCATAGATTTGTATTGCAAAGTTATTATTTTAATAAAATTATAATAATATAGTGCAAAATTCATTAAATACTAATATCCATATCTGTGGTTGCTCAACACTGAACTGCTTATAGTAGTCTTAAAAAATCAGTGACATTTGAGACAACCGAGGGTCCCCTCTGGTCTTCAGAGATGATAAAATTAGTTTGCTTGTAATGTATGTTAATCATGCAGAGTCCTTGCCATGATGGTAAGCAGATGAGTGACTGGTCAGACAAAGGACACAGTATTAAAATTGCTCTGCTGGCAAAAGCTGTCTCCAACCCAACTCTCATGCTGCCTGTGTTGACCCTGCCTGGCAGCCCAGGCATGTGCACAGCACTGCCACTTGCTGCCAGGCAAGGACTGCTAGGAGCATCTCTTCTGCATCAGTAATGGTGGCAGCTGGAAGAAAAGTGCCCTGACACCTCCAAAATGGTTATTTGAAAGGCTAAATGTGAACATTCCTATTACCATGTTTACAAGCTTGGGTCAGCAGCCAGGCTCAGGCCCAGGTCTTCTGACCTATCCAGCCTGCAGCATCATGTTTCTCTCTCTCTTCTCAAACTGAGTTTTAGACCCCTTCTAAGAGTTTTCAAGCTGTAGATTGCTACCCACTGAGCCCCATGGAACTGAAAAAAAAAATAAACATTGGGATTTAAAATTTATCTTTATTTCTATCTTATTCTTGTTATTGTTCTCTAATTAATAAATTGGCATTGAGAGAGCCATCCACTTTCAAACAGACCAGAGCTCATTCACTTGTATTAGAAACTGGGATTCCTGGCAGAGAGACAGATGCTGAAATGCTTTTACATTTGGAGGAAATTCAGCATAAATGTGCCAAAGCTAAAGCGGAAAGGTTGTGGGGTTTTTTACCAAAACTATTGTTGTGATACAGCTCCCAGCATGGGTACGTATGGGGCTGACTCCTGTTCCAAAGGGCTGCTCTCTGATGGAAAGGTGTTTTGCCTGCTGTGGGACTTGCAGTATTTTCCATATAGATGCCCTGATGACATCCCCAGTTGCATCATGGCTGTGGACTCAGGAGACCAACCAAAGCATGTTTAGAATTGTCCCCCTCAAGGCTGGCTACAGGAACACTCAACTACTGCAGAGACCAAGGGCTCACTGAGAAGTCTCTTCATTGCTCCTTAGCCAGCAGCACCAAGGGAAGAAAACAGGGTATTCATCCCCTGCATTGGCCATGGAGAGGAAAGAAGGTGGATGCAGATGAGAAGAGCACAGCTGGTGCCCAGGGAGAGCTGTTTGTGTCCGTGTCTGCACAAACAGCCCCAGGGTGCAGCTTTGAACAGGAAGAGTCACTTTCCCCACTCAAAATTAAACATTGCTGGTCTGTCCCCATCTGCCTCTCAAAGGTCTCGAGCTTGTGGGGGGATCTCATGCCTGGGGGTCTCCTGGAAGGCAGTGCTGAGCTCGCCCATCAGTGAGCAGGGGGCTGGGGTTTGCTGGAGCGAGCAAGGTGACATTGGCAATGCCACCAGCATCAGTCCTGCCAGGAGACCTGAGGAACTGCTCTGGGTACTACAATCACTGCTGGGACAGTCTGCAGAAGGGAGGCTCCATGGAGAGGTGGGTTTAAGACCTAGAACCCATTTCTCTTAAAGTATTGGGCTCGCCTAATCACGCTGTTGACGTAGTTGTAGTTGCTGCTGCATGGGTCCTCCTCGTAGACCTGGAGGTTGCCCATTCTTGCATGGTAGGTGCAGATTCCCCCTGGAAAAAGTTAAGAAGGCATTGTTACAGGCTTGTAAGTAAGAGATAGAAATTTAAGAGAAAACATTTGTAGCAAAAAATGCCATGCATCTCACCAAACAGGAACTGCTTGACAAAGTGCCAATTGTGCATTATTGTTGAAAAATGACTGGTTTTGTAAAATCTTTATTGCTTTAGTGAAGGAGCCCATGACTCTCTCCAAATGCAGGAGGAAATAGAACACTGTTACCAGAAAAGGGTGTAGTCAGAGCAAAAGAAGGGCAGTAGCAGAGCAAGGAAGGGAGAGTAAGAAACAGCATAGGGTGAACAAACCAGCGCACCAATAGCGCGGACTACAAGGAAACCTGGATTGCAATCTTCCTGGACACAACAGGTTGCCACAATAATTCTGTTGTGTTGTGATGCCTCAGATTCTGCATTCTCCAGTGACTTTTGTCCTAACAGCCATTTCTAATTGCCAATTTGCTGGTCTGGTACTGCTTCTGTTAAACTAGAAAACTCTGGTTCTGGTTGTTATTTCGGGACTTTGGGGATTTCTTTTGTTTGTTTGGAGTTTTTTGTGGTTTTTTTTTTTGGTTTTTGTTTTGTTTTGTTTTGTGTTCTTTTGGTTTTGTTTTGGTGTTTTTTGGGTTTTTTGTTTGTTTGTTTTGCTTGTAAGAGATGCTGTAAAATCTGCCAGACTGATGCTCTTTTTCCTTTAAAAGTGACACCAACAAGCACACAGCAGTCTCATCAGTCAGTCTGTCCCTCCCTAGTACAAAGCCCATTCCGTACCTCTCAGCTGCCGGTCCCAGGTCCAGGTAGGATGTCTTGCCCGTACTTCATTAATGGAAAGAACCAGGATATTTGAGCATTGATTTATGTGTTCTTCACTATCCCACGCCACATAAGGTTGCAGTTGCTGCCTGCTGATCTAGGAAAACAAGGAAGAAAATGGGTTTCCCTCTGAATGCCACTCCCTCTTCATTGCACTCCCAGGCTTCGACTCATTGAAGTGACCTTATTCAGGAAAACACCTAAGCACAGCCTTTGCAATAAAGTGCTCTTTCAAACACAGCACAGTCATTTGCTAAGATAAACCTTGGGGAATGACTGGATTTCTGTGCTGTTGCTCACGCCTATCACCCTGGAGTACCTGCATCAGGCCGTACTTCTGGCGTCCCTGGTCCCAGCCGTTGTCCAGGAGCAGGCCGACACGGCTCTCCTGGGACATGATGCCTCCGATGAGCGCTGGGTCCAAGCAGAGGTTTCTGGCTACTCTCTTAATTGGGATCTCGTATCTCCTCAGGCGTGTGAGGTCTGCCTCAGCAGTCCTCCGTATCATGGCATATCCTGCTGCATAGGAAAAGGCAGACTTACACACACCCCTGTCCAAACCCCTTGCTTCCCCCTTGAGCAGGTGTGCCAAAGAAGTAACTCAAGTTTTTAAGAAATCACATCTTCATCAAGTTGGGCAGTGGGGTTTGAGGAAAAAGAACAGCTCTATTGGCTCTGACCATGGCCAGGAAGCTGCTGTTCCACTGCCCAAGGATGACCAGGGGAACAGGGAGGCTTCTTAGGGGGTGGAATGCATGGTCCACTTCTTCTGCTGCACCTCTGGAGTCAGAAAAGTGAAGTTTCAAAATGGATTTGAAAAAATTGAGGGGTATGTTACTACAGATTGTCCACACTGCAGTAACAGCTATGTTCCATTTCTAGAGAGTGGGGGCTTTTATAAAGCAAATTTGAAACAGTTTGGAAACAAGCAAGCAGGTTCAGATCTATGCTTGAACATCCACAGTCAGGTGTCTGTCCTGGAAAAGCCTACATCTGAGGAACATGGCAAAATCCCTGGAGATATCAGTGGTATGAATGTGACATAGTCAGTTGTGTGGTCACACCAGGCAGTAACACCAGGCAAGAAAGAGAGAAATGTGCAGCACTGGCCATCTCAGCCAACATGCCAGCACGGAGGACCTGGCTCTGTGTATCTTACCCTGGGAGCAGACAAGCCCTGGGACTTTGTGAGGCGGCTGATGCTAAAGTCCTGGCTGACAAAGAGGCTGTTTTGACTGAAAAGAGATGGTGCTATTTCCTTTTGCTTTGAGGCCAGAGATCCTGACTATGGGACATGAAGTCTGTCCTTCCACTTCCCATCACGTCTGGAGGCTTCACCTGCTATTTTGGGAGAGGAAGTGTCACTTTCTCCCTTTTGGCTTATTGACTAGCTGCACCACATTTAATTTGGCAATGACAGGAGGTAAGGCATCTCTCTATCAGGTACAAAGAAGTTAACAAATCAAGCAATGAATGATACATACCACAATCAGAGGCTCTTGCAGGTGTACAGGAGATCGTGGGGGCTTGAAGAGCACTTATATCACCATAGCAACTGTAGCTCATGGATGGAGCTGAAATATTAAATGGAGCTGTTTGAGCACATAATATCTCCGAGCAGTATTGTTCAAATCCTGCAAGTGCATACAAGTCAAGCATGAGAGAGTCCAGACCTGCAATCCACATCCCCTTGTGCTGGCCCTGCTAGTGCAGTTGCCACTGGTCTCCATCAGTAATGTTATCAAACAAAGGTAGAGAACAAAAATTGGTTCTTTTCTAATTGAATATTGAAGCAAATGGATCTGATGACTGTTTAGATGAATATGCACCTGCCCCGTTAGGCCTAAAGGCTGGTGTGAGAGAGGAGAACCAGAGCCTCTGCATTTATTTCAGAGGACAGTTCCCATTCAATGCCCGCCAGTGTTTGAAACCACTCAGATGATGGCTGGAGGTCACTGAGCACCCTGGCTGGGATTGCCTGCTGTGTTCCTCAATAACTTGGTGAGGAATTAATTCAGGAGAATGCTTGCTTCAGTCTGGGAAAATGACCCTGTTTCCCCAGTAACCAAGGAACAAATAGCATCCATCAAATAGATTGCCACTTTTGTGAGAACGTTTCTGAGAAGACAGGGAGATTGAATAAGGTTAGCTAGGAAAACCAAGAGGAGACGTGGCTGTGGCTCCTTTGGTTTCAGTCCTGTCCTCCAGATGAGATGGTTTAAAAGACACATGTGGGCAGCAAGCAGCCTCACACAGCAGCTGAGGACCTTCGGCCACACAGCATCTCAGAGAGCCATGCAGGAAGAGAGCCTCAGGCCTACTGCACACTTCCTCTCCAGGGTCCTTCTGCAAACAATTCCCAGTGTGCTTCTGACAGCAACCCAAACCTGTCTTACCAACAAGGGCTGAAAGACCCAGCAACAGCAGTGCGGGGATCATGGTGATGGCTCTCCTCAGCTGTCCCGGGAGACCTGGAAACACAGTGGTTTGCAAAACATGAAGACATTACTGCTGATTTTCGACAGCACTCTAGCAAAGTTGGCATGCCAAAAGCTTCCACCCTGAGGCGCCAGACAGGGATGGCATTAGCTGAACAGGGGTTGGGCAACAGAGGAACTTTCTCCCCTTAGGGAGGCTGGGATCAGGGAGGTCCCTGTTGGCAGCCTGGACCAGCAGGGACCATTTTAGTCCCTGTCAGTTGTCATTGCTTGCTCACACTCCCCCTCCTGAAGGCTCATCATGTGTCTTTACGACGAGCAGGTCCACTAGCTTTGCTTTAATTTGAATAGGTGTTTGAAGTCTAATGTGCTAGAAAGTGCACACAACCCCTGCTTCTCTGTTCAAAAAGGATTTTTCCGTGGCTTTTGGAAAAACTTGTTTTCAAAAATCAAGAACTATGACCCTTAATACCCTGCTAAGAGCATGCAAGGCAATTCCAATATTTATTTGGTGAAATAATACTTATCTGTGTGATGCTGGCAGATCACCACTTTACTAATAAATGTGTGTGTTGTGCCTACTAGTAAAATTCCAAAATATCACCAGGTGATAGCTATCAAAGGCAAAAACTTGATTGTATTTGCCTTGCTGATAAACACATTTAAACTGAGCAGCTTTTATGGCTTATATTTTTTTTTCCCAAGAAGATTTCAAACATAAAATACACCGTGAGTTTTGTAGGCAATTAACACTAATCTTGTTAACACTTGAAAACACATTATCAGTTTTAATAGCATGTAACCATTTCTCTAGCCTGCATTTCTACTGCAAACTGGATTATATGTATGCAGAAACACAAATAATCCACCAGTATAATTGGAAAAACTCCCTTGTCCCGATTGAGCTTATTCAGTCCAGCAATGCCCACAGCCAGATCAGAGTACACTTGGTAGCTCTGTTTGAGCTCTTACACTAAGGCTAAGTATTCATAAGCCCAGATCAATACAGCTTGACCCAACTTCTGAATGAATTCAATGGCAAATCCATCTGATCCCTATTGAAAGCTATAGGATGTAGCTGTTTCCACATGCAGGAATTTTTTTAATTCCACTCCCATCACAAAAACCTCACAGTCATTATGCAGAAACACCATAGCAATCACAATATTGGCAAAATTCTAAATCAAAATAAGTCAAGGCTTCTGGTTCTAAATAAAAATTCTGTGAGTGAATTCAGACTCACCTGTATTCAGTTGCCCTTCCTCTGAGGCAGGTCACTTGATGACTTTATATATATATACATGGGAAAAGGTATCCACCCTATGGGCTTTGGAATGTTAATTCCTACCTAGTGTGATGACTGTTTTATATTACACTAACTAATATATATTATGAGCTTAAAACTCCAATGATTTCTTTCATCCAAAGATTTGCACAAAGGGTGGTTAGTCAGACTTGGGACAGCTCTGTGAAAGGAAATAAACACTGTTTTTTCTCCATCAGTAAGCACATTGATGCACAGAAAATGACTTGAAGAAATTATTGAAGTGAATCAGTGGCAGAGGCCACGCAAAAAAACAGATCCCTATGTAGTTCTCTCCTTGCTTTGCATCTGGGCATATTTTGGAAGGACTGTTTTTGTCTTGTTTCTTCAATGGTTTCAGATAGGAAAGCTTTTAATTAAGTATCATACTTAATTAAGTAAGTATCATACTTTAATTACGTACCATATGAATTTTAACAAGGACTATTAAGGAAAATCATCCCAGTGCTTCATTGTTTACAATAAACCAAATTCAGGATGGGCACTTGACAATTTTGAGAGCAGAGGCAGGGTCTGAGTTTAAGATGTGGGGAGGCAGGGGCTTGCAGCAGAAATGAGGAGGAAGAAACTGGTCTCTCAGCAACTGAGGTTAGTGGGGACACACAGAGGGGCTCTGAAAGTCTTACACTTTGCAGCCAAGACACTTTTCACATATCTAAAACATCTGAGTCACTTGGAAAAGGAAAGACAGTCTGAGAAGCCCTTCAGTCCTGTTCCCTTTGCCACATTTTTCTCTTCCCTAGACTCTGCCCAGCACGCACGGAGGTTAGGAAGGCCAAGAATTTCTTCTGGTGGCTTTCTCTTTATTATTTAATACATCACAAATCCATCTATTCCCATTGCTCTTTTGGGACTGATGTGGCAGGTAGGAAATGCTGTTTTGGCCAGATACTAATGAATATGTTAAAAAAATGCATTGTTACAGGAGGTTTAGTAAAAGGGTTAAGGTGAGTCTTAAATATAGAACTCCTACTGAAACCTCCCCAGAGATTACAACAAAGCTAGGCAATAATTTTTTGTGCACAAACCTCATATCTTCTGGGGTATCTCAGACTAGACTATCACGTAATCCTTTTACTGGGATTCTAACTTTTTACTGGAATTTTACTGGGGTCTAACATTTTGAACAGCAGAAGGTAACATTTGACATAATGTAAGGTGCACATCTTTGTGGTGTTGTCATGGTCTAACACTTAGAAAATAGAAACATCACATGTACAGTGTGCTTTAGCCCCTTCAAAGGCTATAGCTACTGATTCAATGCTGAAGGGAAGGACAACAAGAAGAAATTAACTGGGAAAAGCTCATAGGGCACAGTTTGATGGCAGCAAACACAGTAGAAATATACATTTATCCTCTACAGAATGAGACAATAATTTTGCATTATAAAGAGATGTATTCTCTTAAATAGATTATAACAATTTAGTATTAACATCTGGGTATCCTTTATAAAAACAGCATCATGTTAGTGACAAAAAACTAAAGTTCCTCTGTCACTGAGCCAGTGCTCATGCTGATGACTTGGGACCTTCTTTGAGAAGTAGCCTATAATCTTAGGTAAGATTTATTTCTTAATATGTTGTCCACTTGCTTATGGTCCTTAAGATAAAGTTTTGAATTTAAATACTGTTTGTCTTTGCTACATATTTTTCACTTTCATTTGTTGCCATGTAATCACATTTTTCTACATTTCACAGTAGTCCCATGAATTCTTAATGTCTATTCTGCATTGCATTGCTCCTTATATACTCATTGAGTAGTGGATGCTATGTTTTAAATGCAAGTTTTTATCTGTGCTGCTATAAGCTCTTAGGTCCCTGGGACAGATTCCTTGTATTCATACAAATTCCACTGTAAGCCAAAATAAGAGGATACTTTTTCAGCAGTGTTATGGACTTTTTCTCACTCAAAACCTCTTTATCCACACAAATTTTTCCAACTGCCTTTTAAAGTAAAAGCCAAAAGCAAGCACCCTCTATCCTCATATACACTAAATGGAGCAGGGCTCTCAGCTATTGTCCAAGGCACCACCACCTAATAAGATCTGCACCATGTTAGAAAATACCATCTTCTACTAAAAGATCTTTGTGGGGCTGTGTAAACACAGAGCATTAAGTGTAGATGAGCCACTTAATGAGAGTGGGCTGCATCTGTCACTAGTACAGCATATTTTTTCATTTTTATGGTAGATTTAATTTAGAAATTTTCATCAGGAGTAGTGTCAATACCTATTCTCCTTGTGCTGGGTTTGGTCAGCACAGTGTGTGACTGGGAGGGAGGGGAAGGAAGTCAAGAAAGAGGAGGAGTTCATTTATCCAATAGTATCTGCATCTTCTTAAATTTAAGAAGCATGAAAGGTTCCTGGTGTTCATGGGCATCCTGGCTTTAAGCTGCAGTTAGTGACCACAAACACACTTTCTCTGTGGTCTGTCAATGACACTGTTGGTTACATTCAGGTAAAGGGAGAGCAGAGTGGACAAAAAATGTTACCTGACACAATAGCATTTTCCACTTGTCTTACATAAACTAGAAGGGATCACTCCTGAGATCTAAAGCACACCAAGGTTCAGTACCAACGGTTCTTTCCTACTCACAGATTTTTACTTTATATTTTTCCCCCTCATGCCAGGGTAAGTTTTTACATTCTGCTTGATGGTGAAGTGATCAAAAGGGAGCATCATTTTGAAAAGGACTACATGCTGCACATGTTATTCTCCTTTAGGTTGCAGGTTTTAGCATCACATGTCACTGGGTGGTGAGAATACCATCTAAATTACTTGGAATGATACCCACATTAATTATTGTCTCCATTGTGAATTTCAATTTGTTCATAACATCAACAGGTAGGTGAATTTCCCAGGTTGTTCCTTTTGTCTTGGGTGTAATTACAGGTAACACCAGATAGTCTCAGACTTCGTAACTGC